GTCAGTGGTTCAAACCTACCAGCTGCTCCAAGGGAGAGAGATGTGGCCATCTGCTTCTGTAAGATTACAGCCCTATAGGGCAACTGTGTCCTGTAGAGTCGTGACTCATTGTAATTGACTTGATGGCAACAGCATTCGTTTATTGGTTGGTAACCAAGGTTAGGAACAGGACATAGTTTTAATGTGAGACTTTCCAGCTGGTTGATGCTAATAAATGCTAGTTTGCCCATGCATAGCAACTGTGGCTTATCATCTAGCAAGTCAATGGTAAGAGATTACTTAAAAATACTTTCTAACATAATCTCATGAGTCTGTCAGAGCTTTGTAGCATAAACATCATCCAGGTTTCGGCCAAAGTGTACCTCCTCCAAGAGGTCCTCTCTGCTCACCCACCGCTAATGATCCTGAAGGGAGTCCACCATCACGCCTTCACTCTCTAATTACTTCCAAGCTAAGTCTTCAGGGCTCATTGAAGATTCAGAAGAATAAGATATGATAAGTATTCTGTCTTTCAGAATTTGCAGATAGGGAAACTGAGATACTCAGAGATAAAGTAAGTCCCTCAAAGTTGGTCACAAGTTAGTAAGTTGCAAAGGTGACATCTTTTCGCTCTGGAGTCCCTGCAGTCCACACAGCGCTTGGCTACTAGCTGAAAGTTTAGGGGTTATAGTCCTCCCCACCAGAGATGCTTTGGAACAAAATCCTGGTGATTCACATCTGAAAACTCCGTCATTGTAAACTCTACAGAGCACAGTTCCATTTGACACATAGGGTCACCAGGAGCCTGAACCAACTCAAGGTCAACTGGTTCATCAGTTTTAATTAGCCTTTCATTAGTCAATTCATTTGCATTCCCTCCCTTGATCCCAAGCTTCAGATTTGTTGTTGTTGTTGTTAAGTGCCGTCGAGTCGGTTCCGACCCATAGCGACCCTGTATAGGGTTTCCGAGGGTGTAAATCCTTACGGGAGTAGAAAGCCTCATCTTTCTCCCGCGGAGCGGCTGGTAGTTTCGAACCGCTGACCTTAAGGTTCGCAGCCCAATTCGCTTTGTTAGGATATTTACTATGCCACCAGACACACTTGGGAATAAAACTGTCTTAAAAAAAAAAAAAAAAGCTTTGATGTGAATTGAGATAAGATAGTCAGTTTTACATTCAACAAATCACACGCTTTGTTTCATCTCAATGATTGCAATCCCCTCCCTGCAGCAACAGTGGTCCCGCTTCCTCCCTGTGGTTACCCATGTGTAAAAATCCTCTTTCAAACTCTCGTTTTGTTGTGTTCTGACTCACAGAAATACTGTATAGCGTTTCCAAAGAGCAGCTGGTGAGTTTGAACCACCGACACTGAGGTCCAGTGCTTATCCTATTGAGCCACAACAGCATAAGAGACGACTGTACACGTGGACCTCACCAGATGGAATACATAGAAATCAAATTGACTACATCTGCAGAAAGAGACGATGAAAAAGCTCCATATCATCAGTCAAAACAAGGCCAGGGGCAGACTGTGGAAGAAACCATCAATTACTCATATGCAAATTCAAACTGAAGCTGAAGAAAATGAAAGCAAGTCCACGAGAGCCAAAATATGACCTTGAATATATCCCACCTGAATTTGGAGATCATCAGAAGAAGAGATTTGATACATTAGACACTAAAGACCAAAGACCAGAAGAGTTGTGGGATGACATCAAGAACATCATATAGGAAGAAAGAAAAAGGTCATTAAGAAGACGTATATATATATATATATATATATACACATATATATATTGTTGTTGTTAAGTGCCATTAAGTTGGCACCAACTCATAGCGACCCTATGCACAGCAGAACGAAACAATGTCCGATCCTGGGCCAACCTCACTACTGTTGCCACACTTGATATGTACATGTTATTGTTGTTATGTGCCGTGGAATCAGTTCTGACTCATAGTGACACTGTACAGGGTTTCTGAGGCTGTAAATCTTTACGGGAGCAGCAAGCCTCATCTTTCTCCCATGGAACAGTTGGTAGTTTCAAACTGCAGACCTTATGGTATGCAGCCCAATTTGTAACCACTACGTTATCAGAGCTATATAAACAAGAAGGGATAATGGAGATAGTAGTAAATATATTTACACAATGTTGGAACAACAGTGTTCTGGGTGTAGATACATAGGCAGAGACATGGGCTACCTATGTATCTACACCCAGAACACTGTTGCTCCAACGTTGTGTATATCTATTTACCATTATCCCCATTATCCCTTCTTGTATCTTCACCCATTTTCCTCATTTTTCTGCCAACCTCTATCTTCTCGTATATTGCCCTCCCCCTTCTTGTTTATTGCCCTCCCTATCACCCAACTTAACATGTGTCTACCCTCTTGCATTAGGAAAATCTGCTGCACAAGACCTTTTTAAAGTGTTGAAGAACAAAGATGTCAGCCTGAGGACTAAGGTGCACCTGACCCAAGCCAGTGTATTTTCAATAACCTCATATGCATGTGAAAGCTGGACAGTGAATAAGGAAAACCGTAGAAGAATTGATGTCTTTGAGTTATGGTGTTGGAGGGGAATATTGAAAGTGCCACGGGCTGCCAAAAGAACCAACAAATCTGTGTGGGAAGAAGTGCAGCCAGAGTGCTCCTTGGAGGCCAGGATGGCCAAACTTCTTCTCTCATAATTCGGACATATTATCAGGAGGGACCAGTCGTTGGAGAAGGGTATCATGTTTGGTAAGGTGGAGGGTCAGAGAAAAAGAGGAAGACCCCCAGCGAGATGGATTGGCCAAGTGGCAGCATCACTGGGCCCAAGCATGGCAAAGATAATGAGGTTGGCCCAGGACTGGGCAGTGTTTCGTTCTATTGTGCATAGGGTCGCTGTGAGTCGGTACCAACTCGATAACACCTAACAATAACAACCCTCTTGCCATGGCACGGTGGGCTAATGCGTCAGACTGCAAAGTCATTTGAACTGCAAGGTCAGTGGTTCAAGCTCACCAGCTGTTCCTTGGAAACCCTATACAAGGTCGCTATGGGTCAGATTCGACTCAACAGCACTTCATAACAACAACAACCCTCTAGGCAGTGAATTACTTGCTCTTCCCTCTGCCACCCCTTGTGACCATCAACTAATGTTTCTTTTAATATGAAAACCTTTTCTTGAGCTTTTACAATAGTGGTCTCATACAATATTTGTCCTTTGGCGATTAACCAATTTCATTCAGCATATTTTCCTCCACGTTCATTTATGGTATGAGGTGTTTTGCAGATCTACTCATAGCCTGGCTCTTATTTCTTGTGGCTATATGCCAAGTAGAGGGATTGCTGGGTCATACAGTATTTCTATTTCCAACATTCTAAGGAAACGCCATACCACAAAACTGGCATTAAGTTGCCACATCACAGAGGACAACCTCACCTGAGGAATGTGATGAGACGCTTGCTGACTTGTGTTCACACATTCTCTTCTCTGGGTTCTTCTCCATGAAGATCAGACAAAGTTAAATCAAATCAAACAAAACACATATCAAAAATATAAACTCGGATGGAGCAAAACCTATAGGATCGATTTTCTTCGCTCCCCACTGAGCTCTTTCATTAGATAGCAATAATTCTTTAGCATGAAGAATCTACCTAGTTTTCCCTTACCAACTATCTCACTAGCCAACAGTTTGCATTTATGGCAATAGTAAAAAAAAAAAAAAAAAACCTGTTATCTGACTATTATGCACATTAACAATTCCTGTCTGACAATAGCAAAGACTGTGGTGTGAGAGGAGAGTAGAACGTGGCTGGTCCATGATACCCAATGGTATGGAATGCTGAAACTGACAATTATTCAATGATGTCATCTGGCAGCTGTTTCATGATGTAGTCATCTTCCACTTTGTGCTTTGATTGATCATTCTCCATATTCACATAACCACAGGGTCATTAGAACCAACCACTGTCAGTAAGTGAGGGGGGTTTAAGTAACTACTTGTTAAAAAAAAAAAAAAGATGAGCAAACTGTTCATCTGAAGTCTTCGGATGCTTACTTTTCTGTACCCATTGTTAGCATTCTGACACATCTTTCAGTAATCCCTTCTGTCTAGGTTTGTGTTTGATGAAATTGTTTATTATAATGTGCCAATATATATAACTCATCGAAACTGGCATAACATAACAGGGGGCAGAGTTTGCATGGTTGGCATATTTTATGCAAAATACATATATATTGCATAAAAATCAGTAAATGTTTATGATTTGGTCTAACATGAAGTAGGCTCAATTATAGGGACTCATACCAGCCCATTCAGCATACAAGCTGTAAACCTGTGAAAACTTTTTCCCACTAATTGATGGTTATTGGTTAGGATAAAGGAGCTCAGCTGGCTGTAGAAGTTAAGCACTAGACTGCTAACCACAAAGCCAGCAGTTCAAACCCAGCAGCCTCTCTCCATATGAGAAAGATGATCATTTCTGCTCTCATAAAGATTTATACAAGGAAACCCTATACAAGGTTGCCATGGGTCAGAATCAAATCAATGACAGTAGGTTTGGGGGTTTTGTTGTATTTTTTTCTGGTTAAGATAAAGTGGAGCTTTCCTGTGCTCAAAACTTTGAAGAAAGTGTATCATTTTTTTTCACATGCTGAAAAGACTGGAAAGGAAAGACAGCAGCTTGCAGCCCCTTTATCTAAAACTGTCTTTTTGAGGTGGAATGTGGGTGATGTTCCTTGCAACTTTTTTCTAAAAGTTGAAGGATAGAAGTTTGAGACCCCACAGAAAATTTACCTTGATCTGTGGCAGTTTTTCACTAGACACTGGGGGAAGGTGTGGAGTCCTGTATGCAGCATGCCTAACTCATATTTGGTCAAGGCACCAAACGTTTCGCCTGTTTACCTGTTTATCAGGTTTGGCTTTGTGAGTCCGTGGGATCTTCTGCTGTCTCTGGAATCTTTGTTGTTGAATGAATGTTTTCTGCTCTTCTGAGTCTGTTTCTTAGCTCAGCTCTCCTATCTGTCTTCCTAGGTCATGGGTTTGGGTCCTCAAAGATGTCTCGTGCACAGACGTTCCCCAGCTACACCTCGGAGCAGGGGGACGAACCCCAGCCGGCGCTGTCAAGGTCTAGCAGCTATGGATTTAGCTACAGCTCCAGCCTCATCCAATGACATGCGGAGAGCCACCGCTGACCAGAGAGACAGTCTGCCCCAGAGCCACCTGGGGGCCAAGAAACGGCTCGCACCCTCTGCATCCTAGACCGAATGCAGTAGAAATTGAAATGGGTCAGGTCTCATCCCAATCCCGGCTGAAGGTTACAAACTGGAGTTCTGCTTCCTGGAATCAGTGCTAAGTCCTTTATTTATTGAATTTCTTTGGGGGAATCTATGTTTTACAAAGACAGACTTTTACTTGTATGAAGTCATTTAAATAAGTAAATCAATAATCTCTTTGGGTCTGGTAGTAGCAGAAGCATTGGCACCGTGGGATGTTACCCAGACAGGGTGTGGCTCCAGGATGGGTTCGACCTCTTTTCCTCATGGTGGCCTCTTACGTCTGCTCATCAGATTGCAGGGCCCGTCCTTAGACGTTAATGTTGGCCCACCACAATCTGTGTGGCTTCGAAAGTTTTAACAGGGACAAACCCAGTAAGCTCTACAAATGACATCATCACTATCAGAATAGCTAAAACCCTTCAACAATTAAGGGAACACGAAACATAGACCACACTATTTTGCAGGACCCTGTAGCTATATTATGTGTGTGTATGTTTGTGTGTGTGCAGGTAAATACAGCAATGGGTAGCACAGTATCCATCTATATATAACCAGTATCTATCAAATGTGTGCTCAGGGTGACAGGAGCTGCCCGCTTCAGTTGGTGACTGTTGTCATTTGGTGCATTCAAATTAAGGTTGTTATGTTGAATAGCTATTTTTTAAATAGTGCTGTAAAAACAAAAGACTTCTTAGCAAAAGTATTTATGTCGTCAGAGCAGCTTGATGACGAGTGTATGTGAAAACATGAGCAGAGGAAGTACTTTGGGAGCAAAGGACCAAGTCTAGTAGTCCTTACAGGTCATGCTATAGCTCTTGTGGCCTTTCCAGTTAGGACTCCCTTGGTTTGGACCATTTTTCTCTCTGTGGACCTACATCAGAACTCCCTGGAGAAGATTGGGTGTGTTCCTAGATCTGCTTCCATGAAACCACACACAAAAAAAAAAACCAGGGTGACTGTCAGTGAGAAAGCATTCAAGAATGAAATAAGAGGTAGAAAGAACTCAACCATTTTGCAGTCCATATGTGGCCAAGAGGCAGGGCCTTATAGACAAGAGAGATCTCAATTGTCCTAGCTGCCATCCTCATAGCACCGTCCGGGGCTTGGGATGTTTGAGGCAGCCCAACTTGGGTGGATTTTCTTTTCCTTCCCCTGGATGAAGATTGGCTGGGATTAGAAGAGAAAGTACAATATTTTCATCCATGATACTAGCCAAGTCAACAGTACGGTGATTTCCACGTGAGCCAAGGACATTTGGTAAATCCAGAACAAGAGCTAATTTTGCCTTGAAACTTGACATTATGCTAAGAGGAAGAAAAATGATTCTTTCCCAATTATCTGATGCCACGTGGCTCTCAGACAGGATGGGGTCTCTGCTCGGCTCCTGGAAAGATGAAAACATTGAGAATCTGTCACATTAGTCTGTTGAAAGGGGATCTTTTTCGTTGCTCTGTGATAAGATTCTTCTTTTTATACTCATCCTTACCCATAGCTTGAGTGCAGGTTCACAATCCATTGCTGTGATGACCCCTGAATACAAATGGTTCTGGGACCCTCCTGGATGGATTTGCACTTTTTGCCAACCGTCTTGAGTCTCTGAATCTCTGAGATAAGTATGAAAACCCCATTAAGATACTCATCAGAAGGGTCATGTGGGAAACATAATTATCCTAAGCTTTCAAGGGTGAAAGAAAAAATTGCCCAAACTCTCTGTCCTGTGAATTTTGCTGAGCCTGTAGAAGTGGGTCTGACCGATTCCCTGGGATGCAGCTTCCTTTACCTGAAATGCCAGCATTCCAGGGTAAGACATCTCTGAATCACTTGAGCACACGGTTTCTGCTATGGAAATGGCTGTTTGTAAAAACCATGAGAGCAATCTCCCCCTGAGACCATTTCGGCACAGCTCCTAGTGGCCCCTCTCTGAGAGCGTGCCTGTGGCGGCTCACTCAGTTGAGCTGTTGCTTAGAGACCAGAGTTTCTCTGAGGGACCTAGGGAAGGCCCTCGGGTCCCAGTTCTTGTCTCAGCCTTATTAACTGAAGGCGCCAGACAGACAGCCCCTTGGGGATTGTGCTCATTAAAGGGGTCTGCTGGGGTGTCTTTTTGCTGGGAGCCACAATCCCTGTAGGAAGTTGCTTCAGGAGATGCCCATTGGATCTGATCATTATCAGCTAGCTTCACTCAGAGACATCTATGATCAGACAGCCATCCCCTTAGACTAGTTCATTCTGAACATAATAAATCACAGAAAGAGTGTGCAAGAGAGAAACACCCTTTCCAAGGCTCCAGTCTAATTGTATCACAATGAGAATGGTGCTGAAAATTCACTCTCAGTACATTTTTGAAGATGTATCCAAGCATCTTTCTACTAGTATACTCCTGGTACAGTTGTAGCTAGGTCAAAATCACTGAATGGACAGAGAGGACATTTTACAGAAACCTAATGAACTTGACCGAAGGCAGTGCACATTGTCCTAAAAGTGGTGAGCTGATAAATCTTCCTCAAAACCAAAGATGATAAGTTCCTGGGTCAATTCCATTGGAGCAACTAGCATGACCAGAAACTTGTATTTCATTCATTTGAACTCATACGTTTTGGACTGAAGCTGCCTCTACACTTGCAAGTTCTTTTCTTCTCCTTTGGGAGGGATTGTATTATATCTTTCATGCATTTGTAACTTTTCCATTGTGAGGGAGCGACTGATAGGAACCAAAGACATCTTTTGGCTCCTATGTAAGTGATGCTGTTGGGATACCATCTGGATTTGTGGCGATAAATGAAGAGGGTCACAATTCCCACAACAAGCAGAGAGAGGGCCAGGATACAGTGATCTCAGAGCAGAGAGGACGTGGAGTTCTCAGATTTGTCACAGAAAGACTGCATGAGGAGAGTTGTTTTTCATGCTCCCAAGTGAGCAACACATAGCTTTATGTGCACAATACAGAAAAGTGCAAACTAACCTTGATCCATTCTTTTCTGATTCTGGTGGAGGTAAAGAAAACACATTCACTTGTTTATTAAGCTCTGATGATAGGCACTCAGAATTGAGTTTTTCCAGTTACAAATCATTTCTGAGTCAGTAGGTTCTGGCCACTGCCAATTTTTGAACTTCCTGAAATTCAAAAGTGTATATTTACTTATGTACTAGGAAAGATGCGGTTTGATAGGGCATGTAAAATAAAGTGAAACCTATTTATTAAAAGTAAACTTCACCTTTTCCAGCCAATCGTATCTAGAGAAGTAGGCCTAGTCTCTTGTATAATAAATTCTTTTCTGTCTTCACTTGGCAGTTATATTTGAAACTCATTTCTCAACTATGGACTAGTCCACCACTGAGACATCCTGTCCAATCTCGAACCAGTGGGCTTATAATCAAATGTACTGTCATAGTGGTAGTTTCCTCTACAGATGCACCAGATTGCATGTAGTGTGTCTCTAGAAGCAATTACAAACACATTATAAAAACTGATGTTTGCCCTTATCCTTTGGCCAGTAAATCAGAAACCTTAGCAAAAAAAAAAAAAAAAGCATGAGGACCCTATTCCCTAAATTATTCAAGTCATTTACTAAAGTCAGCCATTAATGCTAGCAGGAAAATAAGCTAGGCAAATTATGCTCATTTAAAAACTGTAATCCAGTTTTGACTATTTTAACACAGCACAATAAATGGACAAGATCCATCCAGTGTTGAGCTTTGGGCCTGATGAATACTTCATGTTTAAAAAAACAAAAAGTGTTATACTAGAAACAGCTCAAAGTGAAAATTATACATATTTCTCCAATTCTATTAGTATGTTATGTCGATAAATACCTTGCCATTTCAAAGTACTTAATCACTCACTGTACTTTGTAATCCCCCAGTCTTGACCATCTCAAAGCAAACAATAGCTTTATATGCATTAATAATTATAACCATAAGTGATACACCACATAATGTAATTTCTAGCCTAAAAATTTTATATAATGCATATTTGTAGGCTATGAAATTGATGCAGTGCAATTTCCTGGGGAAAGGGTGGAAAGAGTAGCTGTGAATTTATTAGGTGGACAAGGATTTCGATAATATTGTAAAGATTCCAATGAAACACCAAGGCTAACACATGGAATCTACTTCCCTAACATTCCCCCATATCTTCTTGCTAGTTGAACCTTGTACTATGTATCTAATTAAAGGAGGACATCAGTTAGTGATCTCAGCTCTTGAAGTCACCACAGGAAGAAAACAAATGATGAACATGTATGCTTCTTTCAAATCAGTGAAAAGTGTTTAACAAAGGTGAATGTGTTCAAATTTTCTGAGTAACAAGTAACCTCAGCACCAGGGGCATCATTCCTGTGTGGTCAGTTACACTGAGGTTCGTCATGAAGGTATATGAGCATTGAGAGCAGCTGGCGTTAAATTCTGGCAAGAGATGAACAAACCATGTGCCTATTCTCTGTAAATATAATTTGAAAGATTAATCCCTCTTTGCCTCCATGGAACTACCACAGATTCGTACTTTCCTACTCAAGAATGGGAAGCTTGTTCGTCTACGTTCTACAGTTCTTATAACAAAAGGAGGCATTCAGTAATTGGTAGATTCTGATGCAAGTATCATTGGGTACTGAGCACATTGTCTAAACAGAATGAATGCTAACTCTGAAAGGAAGGTCATATAGAAAACCAAACTCATGGAAGTTGTGATTTGGCCAAATACACAAAAGTGGCCTGGAGTAGTTTGGCCTTCCTCCAAGACCTCAATTCAGGAAAGTTGTCTTGGCACCATCTTGTCATAATAAGACTTGAGAAATGTCACGAGGGCTCTAGAGGAATCTGTCCATTCAAATTGTTTCCCCATATTTTCCAGATGTTCATCTCTTGCTGGATTCCCAGCCAACTCTACCAGTGGGAAAGCT